ATATAAAGTACACATTACTCAATTGGGATTATACATAGCCACCCCCTACTGTGAAAACTGGCAGGACCCTCCTGAAAAAGAGCCACGAGGCTCACTCAGTGAGGCAGCGGCGGCCCTGGACCCGCTGCTGCCAGCAATCGGCGCCCCCCAAACCCCAGGGGCAGATCGAGGCTGAGTTTTTTGGTAAACTGGGAAACATTTTGCCCCTATTTTCCGTCCAATATTAATTATTTATTTAAAGAGGTATAATTAATCGGTTTGTCCGTCCGTCTGTCCAATTAATCAATTGTCAGAAATGTTGAGAAATTAATTACAGGTTTTTTTTCCTCGAATTTGGCACCCCACTTAACTTTACGCCCTAGACGACCGCCTAGATAGCCTACATGGACGTGTCGCGCCTGCAGTGAGGCTTTCCTGGGTAAACGAGCCTCATAATTCTAGATTTAAAGCTTTAGTGACTGCTAGGATCCATACTCTTTGGTTCTATTGGGTAAAGTCACGTAGGTGAAAATAAAATAACAAAAAATCACAACGTTTCAGCCACAACACAAGCGGCCTTCATCAGGTGAAGAGACGAGACTGTCTGGAGGACAGCGCTGGAGTGGAAGAAGCCACGCTTAGAGCACGACCTGTAAGCTGTGTGAGAAGAAAAAGACCAAGCGCCTTGACAAAGGAAATAGCATATAATTTAGCATTGAAATGGCTCATTGAAATAGCTAAGTTAAAGTATACACATCTGCAGAGGGAGCCCTTGACAAAGGAATTAGCATCGAATTTAGCATTGAAATAGCTGAGTGATTAGCTTGTAACTGGTCACAGAAATAGCTATGTTAAAGTTAGAGCATATACATTCACCGAGGCACCTAGTACTCATCAAACAGGAGAATTTAGCGAAACACAACCACGCTCAGACATCGGACCTGTGTGCGAGCAAACAAGGTGTTCTGATAAAGAAATTAGCATAAAAATTAGCATTTGATTGGCGGATTTTAGGAAAGAGGTGGTGTACGTGCCGGTGGACTTGCAGTTTGGCGCGGGGGGGGGGGGGGTAGGGGGGCGGGGGAGTTTACCTATTGATGGTGTGAAAAGGGGGAATTTATAAGAGCTGCGAAAGTTTGGGGTACCACTACTTGAAAAAATATACTGTACCATTGAAATTAGTTTAATGTTTAGTTCGATTTAGAACATCTTTCCAATGGTTGCTTAATTTGAAACCATCCTCTCGGTTGAAATTGTGTCTGTGTTTGTAGATCTGAATTGCTTCATGAACAAATCTCTGATAAAAGCCCGTGGGTTTGCAAAGAACCTTGGTATCGGAGAAAATTATATCGTGATCCCCTACAGCGTTGTAACAGTGATCAGCCACGGCAGAAGAATTCGTTTTGCCGTGTTTCAAATCTGATTTGTGCTCGCGAATTCGGTCAGAGACATGTCGCTTTGTCTCACCGATGTAGCAATCACCGCAGGTACAACTCAATTTGTAAACCCCGGGGTACTGTAAATCAGGAATGACATCCTTCACGGATGGGATCAGATCACGAATTTTGTGTACTGTATTGAGCCGGACCTGGATCTTGTGTTTGTTTAGAATTTTGGAAATCTTTTTAGTAACGCCTGCTATATATGGAAGTGTGATGGTTTTGACCGGAGTATCAGTAGAATCCATCTTCTCGGTTGAAATTGTCTCTGTGTTTGTATATGTGGATAGCCTCATGAACGAATCTCTCATGGAAGCCAGATGGCTTACAAAGAACCTCCGTCTTGGAAAAGTCAATGGCAATAGATGGCAAGATACCTTTTTTGGATGTCCTAATTAAAAAGAGACCTGATGGTTCAATGAGCCACTCTGTCTACAGGAAAGCTACCCATACGGATACTTATCTGAAACCGGATTCCCACCACCATCCATCACAGAAGAATTCTCTCATCAAGACTCTGTATCATAGAGCCCAATGCATATCCGACCAGGAACACATAAGCAGTGAACTCAAGCACGTACACCAAGCTCTTAGGGCTAATGGTTACTCCGACTATACAATCCGCAAAGCTATCACTCAAACCATGAAGAAGAACCCTCTTGAGGAGCCTTTCAAAACCATCACTTTACCCTACATTGCTGGGATCACAAAAAAGATCTCCAAAATCTTGAATAAACACAAGATCCAGGTCCGTTTCAACACATTACATAAAATCCGTGATCTGGTTCCGTCTGTAAAAGATGTGATTCCGGACATACAATACCCTGGTGTCTACAAACTAAGTTGCCTCTGTGGTAGTAGTTACATTGGAGAAACCAAACGCCATATCTCGGACCGCATTCGTGAACATAAAGCAGACCTTAAACACGGTAGGACCAACACCTCGGCCGTAGCAGATCATTGTTCTAATTCAGTAGGCTCACATGCCATTGACTTTTCCAAGACGGAGGTTCTTTGTAAGCCATCTGGCTTCCATGAGAGATTCGTTCATGAGGCTATCCACATATACAAACACAGAGACAATTTCAACCGAGAAGATGGATTCTATCTTAGCAATCATTGGAAAGATTTGATAAATCATTTCACTTCTTGATTGATTGTTCACGCTTACAGTGGCTTTCAGACAGCATACATAAAAACAAATTTCGTCTCCCCCCTCCTCTTTTCAAAAAATAGATTAGTGGTTGTTTCTGTATGGAGGGAGAGACAGCTTGGCGGATGGTACGGTCAGAGTAACCATTCCTTTTGAGGGCCAGGTGTACATGTTTTAATTCACTGGTCAGGTTGTGTTGGTCCGAAATGCAATGAACCCAATGGTATAAAGTTTTGATGAGATAATTCTTTTGGGCTGGGTGGTGGTGGGAATCAGGTTTCAAGTAGGAATCTGTGTGGGTGGGTTTCCTGTAGACAGAATGCCCCAATGAGCCATCAGGTCTCCTCTCAAACAGAACATCGAAGAATGGTAGCTTGCCATCTTTCTCCACTTCCATGGTGAATTTGATGGCGGGATGTCTGGAATTGATGGGGTGTAGGAAAAGGTTCAAAGCTGGGAGGCTTTGTGGCCAAATGACGAAAGTGTCATCCACATATCTCTTCCCCTGGGAAGGTCTGAGGGTGGAAGTCTGGATGGCGTCTGATTCAAATTTCTCCATGAAAATATTGGCTATCACTGGTGACAAGGGGGAACCCATGGGGGTACCCTCATTTTGTTTGTAGAAGGAGCCATTCCAAGTAAAGTAGGTATTGTTGAGGCAGTGCCTAACCAGTGCAGGTGTATCGGCGTCTAGTCCATGTTGGACCAAATTTTCAATTATTTCAATGGTATCAGGTACTGGGACCTTGGTGAACAAAGAGACCACATCGAAGCTGACAAGGATATCGTCAGGGGACAGTACAACGTCTTTGACCATAGAGACCAATTGGGCTGAGTTAAGTACTGCTGAGGTGGTCTTGTCAGTGAAAGGCAGCAAGGAATATGACAGAAAACGGGCTAGTCTATAGGTAGGGGAGTTGATCGTGGATACGATGGGTCGTAGTAGGAGCCTTCTTTATGGATCTTGGGAAGACCATAGAATCTAGGGAGTCTTGCAGCAGAAGGTTTTAGGGAGGGACGTTTAGTTGGGTCGATTAGGGAGGTCGAACTTGTGATGATCTTGTTGGTTTTCATCGCTAGGCTATTGGTAGGGTAATTTTTAATTTTTGAGTAACTTCCATCGTTGAGCAGATTCTGGATTTTGTTGTTGTATGAATCTTTATCCATAATTACAGTAGCGTTGCCTTTATCGGCTGAGAGGATGACTATATCACTTCTGTTTTTTTTTAATTCGCGAGTTCAGAGCATTCATTTTTGCTGATGTTACTAATGGGTTTCTTAGCATTCTTAAGAATAGGGGCTATTTCAGCTCTCACAACATCTGCTTGGATGTGTCCCACGCCTTTGAGGGCTACATCGACCTGAGAGATGATATCATCTACTGGTATGTGTTTTGGGGTGACAGCAAAATTCAGTCCCCTAGCCAGTACTGTTTTCAGATTGTCCGAAATCGGCGTGCTACTCTGATTAATGACGATTTTGTTGACGTCGAGTTTTGTTATATGTGGAACTGGGTTCTTCTTTAATAGCTGGTTGAATTTAGAAATCAGGTTAGCTTTACATTTGACTGACAGTGAATCAGCAGAAGCAGTCATGTTGTCTATGTGATTTCAATCCGCACCAACCGGCATGTGCACCCGCATGTACACCACCTCTACACCGTTCATCATGCTAAGTCGGCCAATCAAATGCTAATTTTTATGCTAATTCCTTTGTCAAGGCACCTTGTTTCCTCGCACACAGCTTAACGGTCGCGGTCTGAGCGTGGCTGTGTTTCACTCCAGCGCTGTCCTCGAGACAGCCTGGTTCCTTCACCTGATGAAGGCCGCTTGTGTTGTGGCTGAAACGTCGTGATTTTTGTTGTTTTATTATTTACCTACGTGACTTTACTGAATAGAACCAAAGAGTATGGATCCTTGCAGTCACGAAAGCTTTAAATCTAGAATTGATAACCTCTACGGGGAGGGCTTTCACCTATCTGTTAGAGCTTTAAACAGACAACGGGACAAGAAGTCACAGCTCATCGAGACTCTGACCTTCCTCAAAAGATGCCGCGATCACAAGGTAATACCCATCGCTTTCACACTCATTTCTGCTGTATCTTCTCCAAATTCTAAACAGATTCTGTTTAAGGCCAGCCTATCTTAAATCTCAGAGAGGATAAGGCTACACCGATTTGAACTCGATACTTTAGACAGGACTCTCCTACAAGCTAATTTAATGTTAACACAAAAAATGTCACCTTCTGATTGGAATCACATAGACAACATGACTGCTTCTTCTGCTGATTCACTGTCAGTCAAATGTAAAGCTAACCTAATTTCTTTCTGATTGAGAGGGGGTCAAATATATAACATTTTTGACATGCGTTTTTTCTGGATTTTGTTGTTGTTATTCTGTCTCTCACTGTTCAAATAAACCTACCATTAAAATTATAGACTGATAATTTCTTTACCAGTGGGCAAACGTACAAAATCAGCAGGGGATCAAATACTTTTTTCCCTCACTGTATATATAAATAAATAGTGCATATTTAGTGTATTATTGAGTGCATGTTTACGTGCTCTAACCCAAATATCCCGATTATGGACTCAAAAAACCGCTGGGAGACTTCTCACTCAGACCCGTAGCAAGACGATATCGCCCCAATATTCAAATTGTTCAAATATCCCCTGACTGAGTCCAGGATCAATTTAAAGATCATACTCGGCATTCTGAAGGTCCTCCGTGGTCTGACAATGATCACGTTGCCATGTTTACGCTTCTTATAAATATTTTTGCCCGTTGAATCAATCACCAAACCCAAGTGACGGTAATGTTACGGTAAAAAAAATCTCAGTGGGTGACCTCTGGGCAGAGCATGACCTTGCAAACAGACGACCAATCGAGTGAAATAAACATGGGAAACGCACCTCGATGAACAGGCTGACTTCCCTGTGTGTTTGGACAAACTCATTCATCACAGGCAAAACGAACATGTCCCGAATGCCCACGTCCTTCAGGAACTGCATCTGGAGGTGTTGGCACACCAATTGCATCACCTAGCAAAAGAGGAAAACAGCAGGAACGACGTGAATACATCATCGCCATGCAGCAGTCTACGCCCGTCAATTTCTCACAGCGGTAATAAGGTCCTTAGGTGTCTGGGAGCACAAGGCAGGTGCAGGTGGGTGAGTCATAATTTCCATCCCTGACGCCAAAACTTATTTCAGGCTGTGCAAGAGATAATGACATGGGTTAATTGTCACACAAGCCACTTAGAAAGCTGCCATGCTGTTAATGGTTAGTAAACTGAACTCACAGACCAGAGGTCGCTAAATGGGCACACCACAGTTAGCTGATCGGCAAGTCACGTGTGATCCAGCAAAGTGTGGCTTTCAGCCGGCTCTTCCAACACATCTGGTCAACGTGGAAAAGTAGAATATGGGACCTTCCTGGTGTGGACTAATCAGTTTCAAAGACAATGCATATATTATCAGAGCATGTTTCCATGTTCACCACAAGTACGTGGTTAATCCAGACAGGATTCCTTGAATGAGGATTCTGTTTGGTGTTTTAACATCTTGACACCTGTTGTATTGCCAGAATGGGTAAAACCTATTGCTAAATGGAAAATTAGACCAAATACTCGTAAAGAGTTCGCTCTCATGAAGGTCTTTTCACCAGCGGTCGTGTGACCAAGCAATTGCAGAGCTGCACTTTTATATAAGTCAGGTCAGAGCCAGATACACATTGGAGGATAAACATCCCACGGTGGCTGGGCAATTGTTGTGCAATAATGTCAGGTCAAACTTACTTAGGATATTTACAGGTGCGTTTTATTCATGCCGTATATATTAATGCACACATTGTGTAGTGGTATTATTATTAAACTCACCTTTAATGACGATGACCATAAACATGATTAAGAGTGTGACTATTAATGAATGTGCGACTGTACGATGTGGACGTAGCGGAGGGGCCCCCCACGGTGAGCGGTGACGCAACGCGCGCAGTGGCCCGCGTCACGTGGTTGGCACCTCACGTGCACAGAGCGAGGCAGGCAGAGCCAGAGGGGGGGGGGGTGGCGTTGCCTAGGCGACGTTGGCGTCCTCGCGGTCTACTCCACGGTCAAGCTGCGTGTCACTTGGTGACCCCCCCACCGCCTCTTACTGGACACCTGTGAGTGAGAGCTTGATAGCGCTTCGGATTTTGATTCCGAGTACAGTGTGCACAGCACCTGTACGGCGAATCCTCGTTTAACGCAGTAGATGCGTTCCTGAAAAGTGCCGCGTTAAGCGAAAACTATTTCCCCCGTAATGAATGTCCAAGCGCAGTCAGAATTGGGTTACAAACAACTTGAGGGGACGCCGCCGCGTTACCGTCTCGTCTCGCTCAACCGCGCAGCTCAAGAAAGTAGTTCGGCGTCGACCGCTCACAAGTCGCCTTATGGCGGTGCGCGTTCCCTAAATGAAGGCAGCCGCGTTATAGCGTGAACACACGGGACAGACCCAGTTGTCGTGTGCGGGTCAACTCCCTGAGATAAACTTGCTGCCGACTTCATGCGTTGTATACGCCCAGTGCTCAGCCAATTGTTGTGAGCGTCGCTCCTCTGCCCTCTGTTGTTAATGGAGGGAGACTGCACCCAACTGCCAAGTATCATCCTTCGCGAGCCTCTTCAAAATGCTCATCTTGACACCGCTGGAAGCAGTCATCGGCCTTGACCTCACCCCGCTTGCACCAATCGCACAACATCACAGCGTTGACTCTCAACTGTTACTTGTGTAGAGGGGGTCAGATTGTCCAGACATTCGGTTGATACTAATAGGGTTTATTTGCCAGTATTGTAGATTATTTGAATTACATTTGTTTGGGCGTCAGGGTGGTGCAGTGGTCACGCCCGTGCATGGCATCTTCTGAAGGAGTGCCTGGTTTCACTTTCCTAATTCTGGTCCCTTTCTCTGCAAGGGTTTACTCCCATAGCAAAACAACAACAAACACATACAATGTAACTGGTACTACCCAAACATTTGGGATTGTTTTTGTTATGCTGCCTTGCCCAAAATGGCATTTGGTGATAAAAAAATTTTGGCAGGAATTGATGCACTAATGCAATTTGAACTCTTATATATTTTTATTTCATGACTTGCTTAGCGTTCATATTCTTGGTTGTTTCGGTAAAGTCACGTAAATAGAAAACAAGAAATAAAATTCAAATTAAATTAAAAAAAATTAAAAAATAACAAATAAAAAATACATTTAAAATAATAAAAGCAAAAAACCTAGGACGTTTCAATCGCAACACAAGCGGTCTTTATTTTATTGTTTTTTGTTTTCTATTTACGTGACTTTACCGAAAGAACCAAGAATATACATTCCTGCAGTCACGAAAGTTAAGTCAAAATTTGCTTCGCGTTCCTTTACTTTGCCCTCCCATCTGTTTGTACTGTTGTTTGTTGTTGTAACTTTCTGACTCGCCCCGACTGGACATCTGTGAAAAAAGAGCTTCATAGCTCATCAGATTCGTCCAGCCTAATTAAAGATTCTGATTCGGACATTAACTGACCCAGTTTTCGCGTGGAGATCACGGCCAGGATGCGGAACAAAGGGACCACCGGTCACACTCACGTGGAATGCCTAGGGCATTGCACAGCATTTAAATGGACTAGTTTCGTGAGATTTAGTGGTGGCTTAGGGAAGGCCTTTATTCAACAATGTATATCATGTATATCATGGCCGATAAGAATTTTTATAGTCATACACCATAGCCCACGATTTCCTGCACCGTTCATTCACTTGAGGAGACTGCGCATGGTGGAGATGGATGACCCTCGGTATCCTGTCCCAAAGTGATTCCAGTGGTTCAGGTAGTGGAAGAGTTGCTAGAGCTTCTGGTTCTTGCCGAAGCCTTGTGACTTTGGGATGAGAGCGTGGTAGGATGAGTGAAGCGTAGAGCTAAAGCTCCTGGAACATCCTGTACCCAAACAACACCAAACATTCAAAATCTTACAATGCTGCTGTTCCAGCACGAACAACATAACAATGAACAACATATTCTTAGTTTTTTCGGTAAAGTCACGTTGAAGAGAAACAACAAAATAATAAAATATATATAAAACAATAAAAAATTCTCACGACGTTTCGACCATAACTCAAACGGTCGTCTTCAGAACAAAATTCTACTCACCTGGTATCGACAATCAAGGGTATTTCCCTGTCCCCAGACGACCTGCTTGTCAGTTTTGATGTAGTTTCCTTATTCACCAAGGTTCCTGTACCTGACACCATTGCAATCATTGAAGACTTAGTTCATCAAGGACTAAACACTGAGGTACCCCCCCTGGTGAGACATTGTTTAACCAATACATACTGCACTTGGAATGGAACTTTCTACAAACAAACTGAGGGCACCCCAATGGGCTCCCCCCTTTCTCCAGTTATAGCTAACATTTTCATGGAGAAATTTGAGACTGACGCCATCCAGACTGCCACTCTGCGCCCAACCTTATGGAAGAGGTGCGTGGATGACACTTTTGTCATGTGGCCACATGGCCGGCCTGCTCTAGACCAATTCTTCGACCACATCAATTCCATACACCCAGCCATCAGATTTACCATGGAAGTCGAAATAGATGGCAAGATACCTTTTTTGGATGTCCTAATTAAAAAGAGACCTGATGGTTCAATGAGCCACTCTGTCTACAGGAAAGCTACCCATACGGATGCTTATCTGTAACCGGATTCCCACCACCATCCATCACAGAAGAATTTTCTCATCAAGACTCTGTATCATAGAGCCCAATGCATATCTGACCAGGAACACACAAGCAGTGAACTCAAGCACGTACACCAAGCTCTTAGGGCTAATGGTTACTCCGACTATACAATCCGCAAAGCTATCACTCAAACCATGAAGAAGAACCCTCTTGAGGAGCCTTTCAAAACCATCACATTACCCTACATTGCTGGGATCACAAAAAAGATCTCCAAAATCTTGAATAAACACAAGATCCAGGTCCGTTTCAACACATTACATAAAATCCGTGATCTGGTTCCGTCTGTAAAAGATGTGATTCCGGACATACAATACCCTGGTGTCTACAAACTAAGTTGCCTCTGTGGTAGTAGTTACATTGGAGAAACCAAACGCCATGTCTCGGACCGCATTCGTGAACACAAAGCAGACCTTAAACACGGTAGGACCAACACCTCGGCCGTGGCAGATCATTGTTATAATTCAGTAGGCTCACATGACATTGACTTTTCCAAGACAGAGGTTCTTTGTAAGCCATCTGGCTTCCATGAGAGATTCGTTCATGAGGCTATCCACATATACAAGCACAGAGACAATTTCAACCGAGAAGATGGATTCTATCTTAGCAATCATTGGAAAGATTTGATAAACCATTTCAGGTCTTAATTGATTGTTCACGCTTACAGTGGCTTTCAGACAGCATACATTATACAAAATTTCGTCTCCCCCCTCCTCTTTTCAGAATATAGATGGACTAGTCCTGGGTAAACTGCCAAATCGTTGCGTGTGGCGCTAACGGTTTTTATAAATAAATAAATGCGCCGTTTAAAAATTAATTTATGCGAACCAACACACCTGAAGACGACCGTTTGAGTTATGGTCGAAACGTCGTGAGAATTTTTTTTATTGTTTTATATATATTTTATTATTTTGTTGTTTCAGTTCAACGTGATTTTACCGAAAAAACTAAGAATATGAATTACTGCAGTCACGAAAGCTTTAAAATCAAAATGAACATTTTCACAAATTCAACGTAATGCAGGTAATTGAGTGGCTCGAGGTTAATTTCAATGTCAGAGCACCGAGCCAATGCCATTGAGGTCCTCCGTTCAAAATTCAGTAAGCCATCTATCAACAAACGTTCCTGCGAATTGAGGGCAGGAATGCTGTGGTCTCAACTTGGTCACCAATGGCTGCACAGTAAACATCATGTCAAATGTGTTTTTGTTCACTGAAGCATATCCCAGCTCTGAGGGTTTGAATTCCATTTGACGTGTAATGAATTATCTTCAGCTTGGATTCCTGGTAAAGCACATCAGTGGCAACTTGTCTCTGAACCAGGGGTTCCTTGTTCGACAAACTGTGTTTCTGGAACATTCAAGCATCCTCAAGTGCCGTGGATAAGTAAGAGTTTTATCGTTCCACTATTGTTTTGTGCACCGTATCAGCTTTAACAGGATTTGCCCAAAAAGCCTTAGCAAGGAAGGATGAGTCTTTGTAAGTTAGCAAATATAGAGGGTGGAGACCTCAGCATGTAGAGATCTCAACCACAACTCTACCTGGTCTCTGTTATTTATTTAATGAGCCAGCCCTTGCCACACTGAGGTTATACGAATGAACCTTGCATGCCACAGACAGGGCAGTGAACGGCAGTTGCTGCTATTGTTTTGGTTGTTTGTAGCTTTTTTTACCCAGCGATGGCAAGCTCGTACTCCGAGTGCCTATAGAAGGAGGCTGGGTCAAAGATCACGGGCCCTTCATTAATCTCTGCAGCGTTCCCAGTCCATAGGTCACCGTGGAGCAGTGCCGGAACCACCTCTACGTCCCGGAAAAAATCCCCCAACCGAAGCTGCACACCACGCAAAAAACAACACCACTTTATTCATGATAACGTTGTTTTCGAGTTAGATCGCATAAATTTACAAGCGTCGTACACCCACCTCCAATTGCCATTAGGCAATTGCCAGAAGTCAGAACGCTTCTGGCAATTGCTTGATGATGCTGGTTGTAATCACCAGCGAAAGGTCGTACTCGTTTGAAAATGTTCTGCGTTTCCTCTCTAACACACCAGAGTGCCGAAGCAATAACATAAATGGCACGTTCTGTTCATGTCAGAAACATTACTAATGGGCTGTGTTGGGTGGATGTGGGTGTACGACGCATTTACACTGACACGATCTAAGCCAAAAAAAACTTTATCATGAATAATATTGGTCGCGAAAGCCTGCGTGTGAAACACCACTTTACCTTTAAAGTCACCTCGAAAACCCACTGCGATCAAATGGGTTTCCCATATGGCTGTGCACATGATGAGCTACACTGCTGCATGTATTAACTCTTTACTGCTCCGAGATGACTGCAAGTTGCGGGGTGCATCCCGTTCACCGCTGAATCTCGTGTACGTCATCGGAACGTAATAGGAAGTAAATATTAAAATAACTTTATTAGTACCGAGGATCCCACAAGGCCGTGCGGGAAGGTGTGTAGCACAGTTTGGTACCAGCTATAACAGAGTGCTGTCCTGTCGCTACGGTGCTCTGTGGCGAGTACAATGTCTTTAAAAACAACGGCGCTATGCCTCTCTAAATAAAATTACCGCTGAACCGCTTGCGCGTTCCGAGATTCGGTGGTGAACGAGACCCATCCTGAAATGAGCAGTCGTCTCGGAACAGGAAAGGGTTAAGGGCGAGAGTGAAACAGCTTACGAACCTGAAGCCGAGACCAGAGCTCGCGGGTTTCCCGTTCACCGTAGTCCTTCTCTATCATGTCCAGCTGAAGCTGCAGTCGCTGCCGTGAGAAGAACGTCACCCAGTCCTCCTGCCACTCATTCAGCTGGTGGCATAAATATAGTTTTATTACGGACATTTAGAAACATAAGCAAATAATACCTACTTTATTTGGCCAATCCTTGACCTAAAACAGTGATATTCACTCATTTTCGGAGGGGGGCCACTTTCGCGAATAAGACATTATCAGTGAAAGAGCCCACCTCACATTTAAAACCATTGGGGGGTTTGACAGCATGATGGGGTGTTTTCACTTGTGTGTATTGTCGGGGACTGCACGTCAGGGGTCGCAGTAAAAAGGACACCAGGGACTGCCACCGGCCCGCGGGCCTTGCAATGAAGAACACGGACTTAAGATGTCACCCAGCAACGTTGAATTTACGTACAAATGGCTGGGTAATTCTTAAGACATAATTCGACACTCATGTTATGTACCGATTATCATGCTGTAGTCTTTGAACATCTCATTTCAGCCACCAATTGATATCCTCATAAAAAATTACAACAGCATTGATCCTAACGATAGGTTCTGCACTTAATTCCCACACCTCCGTTTAGCACGGTTGGCTATGTACGGTGGAAAGGAAGTTCAACATACATTCATACAAGTCTGTCAAACCCGGCTGAGTGTAATTGGTAATTAGCGAAAACATAACTGATTATGTGAACACTGGTTATGCAAGATCGATCTCTGAGGGAACTTGAGTGACATCTGGTGATGTCAGTTGTAACTGTGTGCCCTGTTATCAATGGTACAACTGTGTGCAATGGAAGAAAATATATGCATTTTTTAATCAAATATATTGTTTTATAAATTTGTGTACTTATGCAAGATAAAATGTACGCCAATCTAGTTCTTCTTAAAATGTAACCTTAAACCAATGTTACCATCATCAGTGGTTAATAGACTATTACACAAAGGACTCTCATATTTCTACGATGTAATACTAATTAGACTGACATCTGAACAACAGCTGATTTCACCGCTCCATGATAAAACTAATTTAATCAAGTAAACATTATTGCCGTTCCTATAAAACTTTGGTCACCCAGGCTGTCCTTCAACAAAAGGGTATATTAAATCTATAATATAGTTTTTCTGGGTTAGATCGCATAAAAATAAATGAGCCGTTAAACCCACCACCACCTAACAGCCAATTAGTAAGGTTGTCACGTAAACGGAACATGCCAATCCGCTACTTGTACAGCAAACAGAAGTGTTGGAGAGAAAATCCACAACATTTACAATCTGAGTATGACGTTTCGCCAGTAATTACAACTATCATCATTAGGTGGACAGCCAAATTCGTAGAGAAATCCTCCTGTTTCATTCCTTGGAGGGATAGATGTGATTACGTCACTTGTGAGCCCTTCACGAATTGGAATGTTCTGTTTATGTGACAAACCTTACGAATTGGCTGTGTCGGTGGTGGCGGGTTTAACGACAAATTTATATTTCAACGATCTAACCCAAAAAAAAACGATATTATGGATGATATTGGCCGCGAAAGCCTACGTGTTAAACGGGTATATTAAAATTTAAATGGGCTACAACCAGTTTCATGACTTTAAAGCGGAGATCACATGTGGGATGTAACCACAGCATATAGCCGTATGAATCCCACATACTCTACATCCTCCTGCCCAGGGTCCATACCTGTTGGGAGAAATTCAAGACTGAAATTTTTATCAAAATCTGTAAAGCACATGAGAACCTTAATTTAGCAGTCTCAAACTGACTGGGACCCCTGTCGTGACGGAGCAGCTGAACATTGCACAAAATCATCAACCCATATACAGATATATACCAAGGGTGACCAACTTTCCTGACCCTACCAGCAGCATACCATAATCTTCAGATGGCCGCGGGAGCCACAAGAGATAAAGATTAGCCATACAGAAGTTGACTCGTGTCGACTGGCTGTGGAATTTTGAGTTTAGAAATCTCAGTGCCCTGGGAGTACTCATGGCCTGCCTCCGATACCAGATTGTTCTCACTTCATATAAAGTTAAATTGAAGAGTTACAAATTAGCAGCGCCTCTGCAGAGCCACACTTGAACTGCCCAGGAGCCACATGCAGATGCCGAGCGATGGTCTGGCCAACCATGGTATTTTCTGTACATTATAGACTTGTAAATCTAGCGTATATACAAAATTAGCTGAAAACATTTATTTGAGCATTTACTCTATTGCCCTTTAATGAATGAATAGCAAAACTACATGAACTCTCTCCTAAAGCCTTCTTTTGGCTAGCAGACCTTGACATTTATCTCCTGAACATATTGCGATTATATTCTTGGTTCTTTCGGCAAAGTCACGTAGAAGGGAAATAATACAAATAAAACATAATATAATAAAATTCTCACGACATTTCGGCCACAACGCAAGCAGCCGTCCTCAGGTGAAGAAACAGAGCTGTCGGAAAGACACCGTCTTAATGAACACTGCCCAGTGTTCACTGCCCAGTGTTCATTAAGACGCTGTCTTTCCGACAGCTCTGTTTCTTCATCTGAGGACGTCTGCTTGTGTTGTGGCCGAAACTTCGTGAAAATTTTATTATATAATGTTTTATTTGTATTATTTTATTATTTCCCTTCCACGTGACTTTACCGAAAGAACCAAGAATATGAATTCCTGCAGTCACGAAAGCTTTAAATCGAAAAATATTGCGATTAGCAAAAATATAAAGGGACGCAATGTTGAATTCTCTAAGTCTCCTTTGCAGAAGAGTTTGCCCTGATGGACTTTCATATATTACCCAACATAATTCATATAAAAGTACATTGCACACACATGAACAATACAGTTCCCTTCATCACAAAGATGGCTAAAACAAAGAGATGAATGTGATTAGGTGTGGAAAATCATGACCGCTGGCTCACTGGTTGTGTTCATGTATGAAATAATGACAGCATGTGTGTATCTCATTCACTAGCTCAATCGCTTGATTTTTACGATTAATAAACAGCTGTATGAAATGTGTGTTTGTTTACACACAAATCGCCTGTTAACACATATTCATTAGATCCCATTGGCATGCCTACTCTCAGTGCGAAGGAATGTCAACATAATACATAGTTGACATGATGCTAGGGTTGGATCGGTGGGCCTAGTTTTCCACATGTTTTACATTTTCATGATTCAATACCGATAGTTTTCTCTTCCTTGTGAAGCCTCTCTCCAATCTTCTGTTGTGAAGGTGCATTTCAGCCAGATGCTGCCCCAACAAGCCTGAGCCCCTGTCAGAGTGTACAACACAATAGACCTGTCAAAGAAAACATTAACTTTATCATGTCAACAAACCCCAAGTAATAATTCATATGCAAACTAAACTACATCATATTTGTCCAGGTGGTCTGTGGCCGAGAACCTCGCTTGAAAATACGAATATATCAGTTCACATTCTGGTTTGGGTGACTCAAAACAATATTCTTCTGGGGTTTATACAATGAGTGTTACTTCCTGGGAAGTCAATCCTATGTAGACTATAAATGAAACCATTTTTTATTTTACCAGAGCTATTTTTCAGAACCGACCTGGCCACAAATGATAGCCTAACGAAGTGGCTTATCACAGGGAAATTTATAGCAGCCAAATGCTCAAAATACTCATGTTTCTAAATGTGCAGGGAAAAACTGGAGAAACCGGAGAAAAATCTGCACGACCACGGGGAGAACATGCAAACTTCAAATATACAGCAGGCGTCAAGGTCGGGATCGAACCTACGAAGTCCAATATACCAGGCGAGGCAGTTAACATCTCCTAGCCACCATGGCGCCCCATTCTCTGACTTATCCACCCACCCACCGACTCGTAAAGCCACCCACCCACTCACTCACCGTGCCACGTACTGAATCTCTAAACCAACAACTCAACCACAACTCACTCACCCTGCCACGTACTGAATCTCTAAACCAACAACTCAACCACCCACCCACTCATCCAACCTCTCACTTACTAAACCAGCCACTCACCAACCCACCGACCCACTCATCCACCTATTCACTTAAAATAGTTCAACTACAATTGAATTATTTAAAATTCACCAGGTAAGGCCCACTGAGCTATATAGATCCTTGTCGGAAACGACGTGGCAAACAAATGATAGCTCAAAGAAGTGGCTTATCACGTGGACATTTATAGCAGCCAAAGCCTCTAAATGTATATTTCTAAATATGCATGAAAAACTCGGAGGTCCCAGAGAAAAATCCATGCAACCACAGGGAGAACATGCAAACTCCAAATATACAGGCGTCACGATCGGGATCGAACCCACGATGTCCTATACAAATGGCGAGGGAGTTAACATTCTGATACCCTGGTGCTCCACTCTGACTCAGCCTCCCACCCAACCACTCAAACACCCAGCCAAAGCACTCATGAACCCAATCACCCTGGCACCCACTCAATCGCGAAACCCACTCACTCATCAACACACCCAGCCACTCACTTAACCACTTACCTACGAACCCACCTGCATACCCCCCACTCACTAACTCAACGACCCACTCACTCAACACTCCACTAACCCACCCACTCACCTATTCATGCCCCAAATCACACACTGACCCATCCACCCACTTAATCTATAACTCATGCACTCACCCACCCACCTGCTCACCAGCCACTTATCTACTCACCCACCCACTCATCCTGCCACCTACCCAACCTCTAACCCACCCACGCACCGAACTACCCACCTACCCAATCACCCATCCAATATGGGTGAGGAGGACAATGGGTGAGGAGGGTGAGGTGAGGGGTGAGTAGCACGAGTCGAGTGGTGAGGAGGATAAGGTGAGGGGTAAGAAGAACGAGGTGTGGGGTGAGGAGGACGAGGTGAAAGGTGAGGCGGACGAGGGGTGAGGATGGGTGAGGATGAGGCGAGGGGTGAGGAGGATGAGAGGTGAGGAGGACGAGGGGTGAGGAGGATGAGGGGTGAGAAGGACGAGTCGAGGGGTGAGTAAGTCGAGGGGTGAGGAAGTCGAGGGGTGAGGAAGACGAGGGGTGAGGAGGACGAGCTGAGGGGTGAGGAGGACGAGGGGTGAGAAGGACGAGCTGAGGAGTGAGGAGGATGAGCTGAGGGGTAAAGCGGATGAGGTGAGGGGTGAGGAAGATGAGGTGATGGGTGAGGATGAGGTGAGGGGTGTGGACAAGGTGAAAGGTCAAGCGGACGACGTGAGGGGTGAGGACGAGGTGAGGAAGACGAGCTGAGGAGGATGAGGTGAGGGGTGAGGAGGACGAGGTGAGGGTGAGGAGGATGAGCTGAGGGGTAAAGATGACGAGGCAAGGGGTGAGGAGGATGAGGCGAGGACGAGGTGAGGGGTGAGGACGAGGTGAGGGGTGAGGAGGACGAAGTGAGAAGTGAGTACGAGGCGAGGGGTGAGGAGAACGAGGGGTGAGGAGGACGAGGCGAGGGGTGAGGAGGAGGCGAGGGGTGAGGAGGGTGAGGGGTGAGGAGGGTGAGGTGAGATGAGGGGTGAGAAGGATGAGTCGAGTGGTGAGGAGGACAAGATGAGGGGTAAGAAGAACGAGGTGTGGGTTGAGGAGGACGAGGCAAATGGTGAGGACAGCGAGGGGAGGACGAGGAGTGAGGACGAGCTAAGGGTGAGGAGGAGGAGGCGAGGGCGAGGTGAGCGGTGAGGAGGACGAGGTGAGCGGTGAGGATGACGACGGGTGAGGAGGACGAGCTGAGGTGAGGAGGAGTCAAGGGGTGAGGAGGACGAGGGGTGAGGACGACGAGGGGTGACGACGACGAGAGTGAGGAGGACGAGGGGTGAGGAGTAAGAAGAACGAGCTGTGAGGGTGAGGAGGACGAGGTGAGGGGTGAGAACGAGGTGAGGGTTGAGGACAAGTGAGGTGGACGAGGTGAGGGGTGAGAACGAGGTGAGGGGTCAAGCGGCCGACGTGAGGGGTAAGGAGGACGAGGTGAGGGGTGAGGAGGATGAGGAGCAGGGTGCGGTGGACGAGCGAGGGGTGAGGACGGGGGGTGAGAAGAAAAACGAGGTGTGGGGGTGAGGACAAGGGTTGAGTAGAGCGAGGCGTGAAGAGAGCGAGGGGTGAGGAGAGCGAGGGGTGAGGAGGACGAGGGGTGAGGAGGAAGAGGTGAGGGGTAAGAAGAACGCGGTGTGGGTGAGAAGGACGAGGTGAGGGGTGAGGCGGGCGAGGCGTGAGGATGACGAGGCGCGGGGTGGGGTGGACGAGGCGAGGTGAGGGGTGAGGAAGACGAGCTGAGGGGTGAGGAGAACGAGGAGTGAGGAGAACGAGGGGTGAGGAGAACGAGCGGCGAGGAGGACAATGGGTGAGGAGGACAATGGGTGAGGAGGACGAGGGGTGAGGAGGGTGAGGTGAGGGGTGAGTAGAACGAGTCGAGTGGTGAGGAGGACAAGATGAGGGGTAAGAAGAAGGAGGTGTGGGGTGAGGAGGACGAGGCAAATGGTGAGGACAGCGAGGGGAGGGGAGGACGAGCTAAGGGTGAGGAGGACGAGGCGAGGGAGAGGTGAGGGGTGAGGAGGACGAGTTGAGCGGTGAGGACGACGACGGGTGAGGAGGACGAGCTGAGGTGAGAGGTGAGGACGAGTCGAGGGGTAAGGAGGACGAGAGGTGACGATGACGAGAGTGAGGAGGACGAGGGGTGAGGAGAGTGAGAGGTGAGGAGTAAGAAGAACGAGCTGTGGAGGTGAGGAGGACGAGGTGAGGGTTGAGGACAAGTGAGGTGGACGAGGTGAGGGGTGAGAAAGGGGTGAGGGGTCAAGAGGACGAGGTGAGGGGTCAAGGGGACGACGTGAGGGGTAAGGAGGACGAGGTGAGGGGTGAGGAGGATGAGGAGCAGGGTGCGGTGGACGAGCGAGGGGTGAGGAGGACGAGAAGTGAGGAGGACGGGGGGTGAGAAGTAAGAAGAACGAGGTGTGGGGGTGAGGAGGACGAGGGATGAGGAGGACGAGGCGAGGGCTGAGGAGAGCGAGGGGTGAGGAGAGCGAGGGGTGAGGACAGCGAGGGGTGAGGAGGACGAGGGATAAGGAGGTGAGGAGCAGGGTGCGGTGGACGAGCGAGGGGTGAGGACGGGGGGTGAGAAGGAAAACGAGGTGAGGACGAGGGTTGAGGAGAGCGGGGGGTGAAGAGAGCGAGGGGTGAGGAGAGCGAGGGGTGAGGAAGACGAGGGGTGAGGAGGACGAGAGGTAAGGAGGTGAGGGGTGCGAAGGACGAGTAGAGGGGTGAGGAGGAAGAGGTGAGGGGTAAGAAGAACGCGGTGTGGGTGAGAAGGACGAGGCGCGGGGTGCGGTGGACGAGGTGAGGGGTGAGGAAGACGAGCTGAGGGGTGAGGAGAACGAGGGGTGAGGAGAACGAGCGGTGAGGAGGACAATGTGTGAGGAGGACGAGGGGTGAGGAGGACGAGGGGTGAGGAGGACGAGGGGTGAGGAGGGTGAGGTGAGGGGTGAGTAGGACGAGTCGAGTGGTGAGGAGGACAAGATGAGGGGTAAGAAGACCGAGGTGAGGGGTGAGGAGGACGAGGTGAGCGGTGAGGACGACGACGGGTGAGGACGAGCTGAGGTGAGAGGACGAGTCGAGGGGTCAGGAGGACGAGGTAAAAGGTGAGGCGGACGAGGGGTGAGGAGGACGATGGGTGATGATGTTGAGGCGAGGGATGAGGAGGACGAGGGGTGAGGGGTGAGGAGGACGAGGGGTGAGGAGGATGAGGTGTGAGGAGGACGAGGTGAGGGGTGAGGAGGACGAGGGGTGAGGAGGACGAGCTGAGGGGTAAAGCGGATGAGGTGAGGGGTGAGGAAGACGAGGTGATGGGTGAGGACGAGGTGAGGGGTGTGGACGAGGTGAAAGGTCAAGCAGACGACGTGAGGGGTGAGGACGAGGTGAGGAAGACGAGCTGAGGGGTGAGGAGGACGAGGTGAGGAGGACGAGGGGTGAAGAGGACGAGCTGAGGAGGACGAGATGAGGTGTGAGGAGGACGAGGAGAGGGGTGAGGAGAACGAGGAGTGAAGAGAACGAGGGGTGAGGAGGACGAGGGGTGAGGAGGACGAGGGGTGAGGAGGACGAGGGGTGAGGAGGACGAGGGGTGAGGAGGACGAGGGGTGAGGAGGACGAGGGGTGAGGAGGACGAGGGGTGAGGAGGACGAGGGGTGCCGAAGACGAGGGGTGAGGAGGACGAGGGGTGAGGAGGACGAGGGGTGAGGAGGACGAGGGGTGAGGAGGACGAGGGGTGAGGAGGACGAGGGGTGAGGAGGACAGGAGTGAGGAGGACAGGAGTGAGGAGGACGAGAGTGAGGAGGACGACGGGTGAGGAGAGTGAAGGGTGAGGAGTAAGAATAACGAGCTGTGGGGGTGAGGACGAGGTGAGGGGTGAGAACGAGGTGAGGGTTGAGGACAAGTGAGGTGGACGAGGTGAGGGGTGAGAATGAGGTGAGGGGTCAAGAGGGCGAGGTGAGGGGTCAAGCGGACGACGTGAGGGGTAAGGAGGACGAGGTGAGGGGTGAGGAGGATGAGGAGCGGGGTGCGGTGGACGAGCGAGGGGTGAGGAGGACGAGGGGCGAGGAGGACGGGGGGTGAGA